AAGGAGGGACTTTGTAGAAAACGAAGCGTTTGAGAGAGGCGGGGCATAGAGGACCTACAATAATGTACAGTATTTGAAAAATAATGTGTTTTTTGAACATTAAAGCATGTCAACATATTCTGTTACACCAAATACACAAAATAATGATCTTTAAAAAAGCATCATATTACCACTTTAATATATCATATCTAATTGGGCTCAAATGATGAAATCCATCTCTTTTTTTTGTAGAAAAATTCTCAGACATAGCCCAGTATCTTCTTTAATGATATTTTGGCTGTTTAGGATTTTTTTTTTCTTTTACAAAGTACTTCTGCTGCCCAGATAGAAATGTATTACTAATTTACTAATTCATTGTCCAGAACTCTGCTGGAAAAGAAATATGGGAACTTTAATTAAATTCCTCTGATTTGAAATAACCGTATAACCGTTTATTTTAAAATGTAATTTATTCCTGTAATGGCAAAGCTGATGGCGGTGTTGAAAACAGCTGTGCTGTCTTTTGATGAATAAATCGTTCAAAAGAACAGCATTTATTTGAAGTATTTATTTTGGTCACACTTTATTTTAAGGTTCAACTCTCGCTGTTAACTAACTATTAACTATGACTTTTGCCTCAATAGACTATTTTAAGAAGTTATTAACAGTTGTGTGTACAGCTACAATTATAAGATCTGCTGAAACCTGTTAATATCCACATATGAAGCAATATCAGCTTAATACTGAAGGCATAATTTAAAAAAAAAATTTTTTAGTCAGTGTCTAAGTGTTACAGCGTTTAATATCAGGTGATCCTGTCTGACTTTAACATTCAGAGCAAAGAAGAGGCTAGAAGATACAGTTGCCATAGAAACAGCTTCATCCTTTTCGTCACAGCCGTACAAATGTTTCAGCTCATTGTCAAGAGAAATGTCCTCACAAAAGTCTCCTCTGGTTGTGTTTTCATACATACAAACCTACTCACACAGAAAAAAAAAAGTTCACCTAAAAACTTGCCATTCACAGAAAACCAACAGAAAGTGAATCTCTGGTTTCTCTTAGTCAGACGAGTCACTGGCACAGGATCAAATCTCATGTTTCTATCCTAAAGCTATCCTCTCATGTTTTCTCAGGAGAGTGAGCTTGAGTTTGATGAGTCACCGTCTCATTATTTTCTCTGTGTTTGACTCAAGAGCTTGTCTCATGTCACCTAAATAGCTCATTATATAAGCTTTCCGCAAACTGTCTCTGTGAATAAATACTTCATATTACAGCCTCTATATATACCCCTGACCACTGCGCTTGTCGGAAGGAGGGACTTTGTAGAAAACGAAGCGTTTGAGAGAGGCGGGGCATAGAGGACCTACAATAATGTACAGTATTTGAAAAATAATGTGTTTTTTGAACATTAAAGCATGTCAACATATTCTGTTACACCAAATACACAAAATAATGATCTTTAAAAAAGCATCATATTACCACTTTAATATATCATATCTAATTGGGCTCAAATGATGAAATCCATCTCTTTTTTTTGTAGAAAAATTCTCAGACATAGCCCAGTATCTTCTTTAATGATATTTTGGCTGTTTAGGATTTTTTTTTTCTTTTACAAAGTACTTCTGCTGCCCAGATAGAAATGTATTACTAATTCAAAAAAGTATTGTCCAGAACTCTGCTGGAAAAGAAATATGGGAACTTTAATTAAATTCCTCTGATTTGAAATAACCGTTTCATACTTAATTTTAAAATGTAATTTATTCCTGTAATGGCAAAGCTGATGGCGGTGTTGAAAACAGCTGTGCTGTCTTTTGATGAATAAATCGTTCAAAAGAACAGCATTTATTTGAAGTATTTATTTTGGTCACACTTTATTTTAAGGTTCAACTCTCGCTGTTAACTAACTATTAACTATGACTTTTGCCTCAATAGACTATTTTAAGAAGTTATTAACAGTTGTGTGTACAGCTACAATTATAAGATCTGCTGAAACCTGTTAATATCCACATATGAAGCAATATCAGCTTAATACTGAAGGCATAATTTAAAAAAAAAATTTTTTAGTCAGTGTCTAAGTGTTACAGCGTTTAATATCAGGTGATCCTGTCTGACTTTAACATTCAGAGCAAAGAAGAGGCTAGAAGATACAGTTGCCATAGAAACAGCTTCATCCTTTTCGTCACAGCCGTACAAATGTTTCAGCTCATTGTCAAGAGAAATGTCCTCACAAAAGTCTCCTCTGGTTGTGTTTTCATACATACAAACCTACTCACACAGAAAAAAAAAAGTTCACCTAAAAACTTGCCATTCACAGAAAACCAACAGAAAGTGAATCTCTGGTTTCTCTTAGTCAGACGAGTCACTGGCACAGGATCAAATCTCATGTTTCTATCCTAAAGCTATCCTCTCATGTTTTCTCAGGAGAGTGAGCTTGAGTTTGATGAGTCACCGTCTCATTATTTTCTCTGTGTTTGACTCAAGAGCTTGTCTCATGTCACCTAAATAGCTCATTATATAAGCTTTCCGCAAACTGTCTCTGTGAATAAATACTTCATATTACAGCCTCTATATATACCCCTGACCTTTTGACTAAGATGTGCTAAAGTAAACCTTTTCAATTAAATAAAATAATGTCACTGCAGCTAATTGATGAAATTAATGGTGTAGAGATTGACAGCAATCTTTACACCTCATGACTCCATTATGACATATTACAAAATACCAAAATCTGCAGTCAAAAACCAGATATTTAAATGTTTCATCAAATGATCCACAGGCTACAATACTATAGTAACATCAAGTTATTTGAACAATTCTAAAGCCGCCTAAATTTTAAGGTCATTGGTGTTTGTTTGATGCTTTAGCTGTAGTGTTAATTTTGTCAGCTATTTTCATTTTAGTCTTAGTCTTAGTCTCGGGCTAAAATGTCCTTGTTAGTTGCCATGGTGGGACTGGGGAAGAAGAGTCAAAGCACCTCCCAGCTGGACCCAGAGGGTGAGTGAACTGAGCTGGTACAGAAAACACAAACATGTGGTGAACTTTATGAAACCACCCTGCTAAAAAAGGCCGTGATGATTTCACATGTTGGTTCAGTGCTGGTGAAGCAGGTTGACCATGCTAGTTTTGATGTTTAAGCTAGTTAAGGCGTTTTCTGGGGATGCACCCAAAACACACATGCTGGTGCTGATCTCTTCAGCAGGCCACTCCTAGACAACTTTTACAGTTCAGGGCATGATTCCCACGGTCATGGAAATATTTATGTTGAATATACATTTTATAGTTTTGCTCTGCTTTAAAATATTTATCAACTAAACAATGCTCTTGAGTTGTGTCAAAGTTGCTTGTAAACCATAGTTTTGTCCAATTGGTGGAGGCTTTTTAATGAACCAGTTCAGTCGGTTAAAGGATTACAATTTTAAGCAATTTTTAAAACCATTGGAAGCCCAAAGTCATATCAGAAAGGAACACTCCACTATTTTTGAAAATAGGCTCATTTTCCAACTCCCCTAGAGTTAAACAGTTGAGTTTTACTGTTTTCGAATCCATTCAGCCGATCTCCGGGTCTGGCGGTAGCACTTTTAGCTGTAGCTTAGCATAGATCATTGAATCTGATTAGACCGTTAGCATCTCGCTCAAAAATGACCAAAGAGTTTTGATGTTTTTCCTATTTAAAACTTGACTCTTCTGTAGTTACATCGTGTACTAAGACCGACGGAAAATGAAAAGTTGTGATTTTCTAGACCGATATGGCTAGGAACTATACTCTCATTCCAGTGTAATAATCAAGGAACTTTGCTGCCGTACCATGGGTGCAGCAGGCGCAGTGATATTACGCAGCACCTGAAAATATTTCCCAGCACGCTCCCTGTGCAAGCAGGTGGTCACGTTGGTTATGTTAACAGAAGTTGGCCTATTTTCAGGCGCTGCATAATATCATTGCGCCTGCTGCACCCATGGTACGGCAGCAAAGTTCCTTGTTCTTTTTTTTTAAGTTTTTTTTTTTAAAACTGATATTTATAAAGATTAAGATGTTTACACTCATGTGTTCAAGATATAAGTAAAATGTTTATTATTTTTTACTTAGTGACACCATATGACATAAGTCTTTTAAAGTGATAGTTCACCCAAAAATTATGATGTATCAAAAAAGCATGCTGAATTGCACTAACTGAAAAATGTATGCATTGCATTAACAGTGCTTGCATTTTAATGTGTTGAATTTTCAGGGCTTGCATTTTTAGGGGCCAAAATTCAATATGGTATATTTAAGCTGTGAATATTTCAATTCAAAACATTTCACACACATTTTCAAAATTTCACCTTCCAGAGTTCACTTCCGAAATATTCAGTCTGAGTCAAAGACATTTGTCATTATTTTTCTTCCATAATGATGAATGATTTGAAAAGAAATTTTTCAAAATAGTCTTACAGGTTTGAAACCACATGAGGGTGAGTAACTTTTTCGATTTTTATTAAATATTTTGGATAAATGATCCCTTTAATATATAGTACAAAAGTTTTTCAAAACCATATGAAACCAAAATGGATACAAAAAGTGCAGTTTTTTTGTTTTAAACTAGATTTTTAAATGATTTTCTTTATCATGAAGACTTTTATTTGTCATTGACCCTGCTAACTTGAATAACTGCAAATTAAAGAACTACTAAACACTTATAGTTGTATAAAAAAATTAGAAACTTTACCTTTAAAAAAAAAAGCTTAAAAATCTCTCTCTCTCTCTCTCTCCGTTTTTTTGTTTTAAACTAGATTTTTAAATGATTTTCTTTATCATGAAGACTTTTATTTGTCATTGACCCTGCTAACTTGAATAACTGCAAATTAAAGAACTACTAAACACTTAGTTGTATAAAAAAATTAGAAACTTTACCTTTAAAAAAAAAAGCTTAAAAATCTCTCTCTCTCTCTCTCTCTCTCTCTCTCTCTCTCTCTCTCTCTGTGTGTGTGAGAAAAAGCACATTTTCTCAGCACATTCACTTTTTCAATGGTGGAAGTCATAACCCAGTCAGCAGCCCATCTGAACACACACACACACAGAGCAGTGATATGAGCTAGCTTTGAGGAAGCGCATGTCCCTCTCTACAGATCACAGACAGGATTCAGGGGTCCCACTGGTGTAATCATGCCTCACGCCCCGCTCTGCCTCATAAAGACCTGCTGGGATGGAATGGATTGAATCGGATGCTCCGCCTAGTCATGCAGTGAGATCTATGATCAGACACACTGATCAATGCTTCCCTTTAGATAAAGTAGATTTACAGCATTTGCAGCATGTGAGGGGGTAAATTGCCCTCACAGATGCCCTGTTGCCGTCTGTTGAGGAAAGACTGTTGGGTTTAAAAGATCTTTGCTGCTTGAGGAACTTCCTGCAGTGCTTGCTTTGATTTGACTGGTGAGTTGACAGAATGGATGCAAATGGGCACTATCACTAGAACACAAAGTTTCTCTGGCTTTTTGTAAAGTATGTACAGTCGGACCACACCAGTGCCAGTGCATTCCCTTGCAATAAAGAAATATGCTTAATTGCATTGAAGGTGCACTTTAAGTGTACTTCAAATCTTTAAAGTATATTTTTAAACACCTGTACTTGCAGATAATATAATATTAATTAAATAAAAGTCTTCTTAAGTGCAAGTAAAAAGAGTCCACTTTCATGACTATGTTTCTTAACACTTCAGTACACTTTTAAAAACTAATGTCAATTTAGTTTTTTTTCCCCATTAAATTACATTTTAAATCTAGGGATGTCAAACGATTAATCGCATCCAAAATAAAAGTTTGTTTAAATAATATATGTGTGTGTGTACTGTGTAGATTTATTATGTATATATAAAAATACACACGTGTATATTTAAAAAATATTGTATATACAGTGGGGAAAAAA